ATCATCAGAAAAGCTTAACGGCTGGGGGCTGAAATCACTGATGTTCTCTGTGGACTTTGGTCTGTGACAGGCACTAGTTTATGAATTTAATGTGAACTAAATGTTGTTAATGAACAGTTTACTGTTTGAGAAAGTGTCACAGTGAAGATTAGCTAAAAGGAAAACCAGAATTTATGAACCCATAATGAAACAAACAGCTCAGGATTAGCCAAAAATCATTCTAGTCAGATAAAAACTATTAGTTAGAAAAGAAAAACACCTAGAACAATTCTTTCAAAATGTGTTTATTAAATTAAATTCAGATTTCTGTGTTCGTACAGAGACGAAAATGGGAAAAAAAGCGTCACAGACTGTTTAGTATTTTGGCTAAGGTTACATTTTTGTAGAATAAGTCTCTTTGGACACAGCGCTGTTAAAATACCAACTCAAGTCTGATCTTGGAGCAGAGTCATCAGGACAGTTTGTCTTCAGCTGAGACAACAACAAACTGCCACATCTACACTTGAAGGACACTTGAAGAAAACCTCAGGTCAGAGACGTTAGTGCAGTCCAAAACCTGTGACCAGGAAAAACCTAGAACGAGTAGGATTAGGCACATATTTTTATACTGTATTTCACAGTATGTGGTTTTTTTTTTACATTAATCGTAGTCATCATGTTAAGTTGTCTCACATTCCATTCTGTCCATTTTAACTGTCAGCTCGTCACTAATGGACTTGTTGTCCTGGACTAGGTGATTCTGGTGTGATGTCTCTGACCAGGAGCGTCCACTGGATGAGATGGTGTTTTAAGGTGCTGTACCGTTTGCAAATAATAACCTGTGTACCTTTGTAGGATTAGTGTATGTTAATGAAAAGCTGCTGCTTGCGCCCCCTTATGGTTAGTCTGAATGATACTCTGATGTCTGGTCATAGATCAGGCCTTCGTAGCTGTCAGTCCTCGAGGCCACGCCCATCAGCGGACCACCAGTGACCTGGGGGTTACAACAGTGAACACGGTCAGTAATATGACAAGTGTCATATGAGTCAAAAAGTCCTCAGACAAATGTCATCAAAAATGACATCCATGTTTGACTCGGATGGTTCTAGAACCAAACGTGTTGACCTCGTTTCCATCCAAGTTTGGTTAAAAAAACCTGATCTGAAAATGCTTCAGTAAATAAAACTCAAAGGTCACACAGCTCAACACCTGCAGAAAGGACATCTGTCTGAGGACTTTATGACTCTAATCCTGTTGATAATCTCAGGATGTTCCTTCACAGCGGCCGACTCTCACCTTGTATCGACAGCAGATGGACTTTCCAGAGAAAACACAGAGACTTGTGGAAACACAGATCTGTACGACCAGTAAGATCAGGAGGACAGCCAGAAGTCCATTAAAGATGGTCTGCAACAAAACCAGAGACAGATCAGGACCCAGGACCTGGACAAACCCTGGTCTTTGACTCACTGTAACAGGACCTCCTTAAACCGGACAAGAGCTGAGCCTAGACCAGGACTGAGTCTGTTTCTGGTCTCGGTCATTGTTAAACTTACATTCAGATTCCAGACTCTGTGCATGCAGTCAGACTGAGCCTCCATGCTGCTGAGGTCACAGATCTGTATGGAGATCTTCCAACTAGCCAACAGCCAGCAGATGTAGGCCACACCCCCGACACTGACCACCAGGCTCAACATGTGGGACAGGAGAGACGCCCAGACCTGAAGGACCAAGAAGACACCCTCAGACCAAACACGACGACAGCCTGGCTCCACCAAACCTCACCGAAAAACTGATGAATTTGAAACGGAGCTCACGTGTGATGGTGAAGTACGATAACCAGCCACCAGGGCCAGGGAACCAGACACCACAAACTGAAATAATAACAAAGTCATTCTGAGGGTCAAAGGTCAGGTGGTTTACAGTCACAGTTGCTTGTTTTCAACGTACAACAACGGCGATGCAGAACGGAGCGAAGACGATCAGCATCTGTGAGTAGATGGCAATCAGGCTGAAGAGGATGCACATGACGCCCAGGAAGATCTGAAAGACCTGCAAACACAGACGCTCTGTGACGTCACGGCAGCTGAATCCAATGTCATCACTTCCTGTTTGCTCAGAACGAGGTTCTGGTTGATGTCCGTGATGTTAGGATTGTTGAAAATACAAAAACACCAACTTTCTCTATGGGGTTCTTAATGGAGTCCTGCCTGTCACAGCTTCAAATATCAAAGTGGACTAACGGTGATATCCTGTTCTTACCCCAAGGCCGTGAGGGTGCCCCCGCAGGAAGGTAGTGGTCATATCATTTACTTTGAGGCTGGAATCGAGAGCAGGTGGTGTCGAGGCAGGAGGAGTGGCCGGTTGGGCAGCAGTGGTGTCCGAGGTGGTGCCAGCGGCAGTAACCTGCATCGCCATGGCGGATTCACCCCGAGGGAGGACCTGCGTGATGACAACTACTCCCCCTACCGTGGTGATGGAGGAGGACATGGCCGGAGGTGAGCGGCTGAAAAACGGAAGTTTTATAAACAAAAACAAAAAAAAAAGGTAATTAGAGAAGCCCATAAAATATGGTGTGAATATTACTGAGAAAATTCAAATGTAAACAATCAGTCAGATAATGAGTCGTAAGATTAACGACAGAAATACATAGTACAGAGTGAGATACGGAGTAAACTGATTAAAAACATCGGACGAGCTTCACGTGTCAACAGTTGCACTAGGAGGGAAATGTTACCAAACATTTTAGCACGACATTAAAAGTCATCAAATGTTTTACATTAAACCTGAAACAGAAAAATCTGATGATAAGGGTTAAATTTGAACAAACCTCAGTGGAATCTGATGAAAGTGTCTGAGTCAGGGCTGCTTCACAGCGGTGAATAATATCAGCCTTTATGACAATTTTATCTTCTAAATAAACTACTAAAAGCTGAGACTGGTGATTTTAACTAACGCTTTATGACAATTTTATCATCTAAATAAACTACTAAAAGCTGAGACTAGGGCGTTAAAATGTCAAAGACGGTGAAACTCCCTCTGTCTTTTCATCCGCGCACTTTTATTTTTGCTTCTTCCCGTTTCAGGTTACTTGCTGCCTTCAGGTGCTCTCTGAAAAAGTAGGACATCTGTCGGTTTTTTTTTTTTGTCATTCTGCTTTACATTTGCCTTAATATACAATGAAATCCCACTCGACCTCATGTCTGTCAGGTTGTATTATATTGTTGAAACGCAACATGCCGTAAAACCAACCCGCTCTACTTTGCTGCAACATAAGTATCGTCGAATATCCCGACAACACCTGAAGGTAACACCAGAGAGCCGTTCTACATCATTTCCGAGAAGACGAACCACAAACGAACTTTAGTATTTATCAACAAGATGTTCAAAACTACAAGAATAATTCCGTCCTCGTTTTTATCTGTGACGACAGAAGAAACATGAATGAAGAAACAATCAGAGAAAAGAACATTTCAAAATAAAGGAATCCAAAATTTACTTTAATATTAAATAACAAACACAATATTGAAATGTGACAAAACATAAATCGAATCATTTAAAAAAATATACAAAAATCAGAGGTTTACATCTTTAATATTCTATTTTCAAAACTAAATCTTTTGAAACTATATACATCATCTCATTTATTGATATTGTTTAATTAAAATTGATGAAGTTTAATTCGAACATATATAAATACTCTATTAATAATGATGTAAATAAAACTATACATTTTTATTTCTACATTTTCTTCGTCACGTGAAAGTTTTTTCATTATATAAAAACAATATACTTGTGTTACTTAATATTTTCCTTAAAAACTTTTCTCCTTGTTTTTAATGTTTTCTCAGCACTTGTTTTGTTACAAAAAGTTGTTTATTTGTGTTACTATTTCTTAATATTTTCCTTAAAAACTTAAGGACTCCTTGTTTTTGTTTTTAATATTTTCTTAGCACTTGTTTTGTTACAAAAAGTTGTTTCTCAAAGTTAAAAAAAAAAAAAGCTTAAAAGATCTTTTTAATTTGAATTCAACATGATGATCTCAGCAGGTTACTCCGCCCCCTTCAGCTCAGGAACCACATCGGCAGTGTCCACCAGAGGGTTCACCTTCTTGTTATGGTCACTGCGGTGCCACAAGAGGGCGACAGAAGCCACCAGGGCACCGATGCAGAGAATAAGCAGCAGAGAGACAACTACTAGCCCATTGTAGTAGCTCTTCTTTTCACACGTGGCCTCGGACGTTTCCTGGCAGGAGCTGCAGTCCGTCCAGAACACATCCATGAGTTTGGTTGTAGTCTGAAGACCGTCCAAAGTGGTGGTCAGATGTGAAGGACTTGTCGGGAACTCCTGTTCTTCTCTTCTTTCTGAAGGCGGTATCACACCTGGAGCAGGTTTCACCGGTCCTTCCATTTTAATTTCCTCGTACGACTCGTCTTTGTAGTCAATCTCGTCGTGGTACACGGAGCGCGGAGTCGCCGCCATCTTCACGTGGTAAACAACGATGACTTCTCGTTGGCCGTCCTCCACGGCCTCGCAGCTGTACGAGCCAGCGGTGGCAGCGGAGGCCTGGAATACCAGGCTGCCCTCTGCTGGATGCTTAAAGAGTCTCTGCGGCAGCGTACGGAAGAGTGTGGACGACCAACTGAGACGAGACCGCTGAGACGGACTGACGCAGAGAAGCTCCACCCACTGGTTTACATGGACAAAGAGGTCTGTGGAAACGGAGAAGTCAGAGGTCACGGTGGTGGCTACAGTTCCCGACTGCATAGCAGGACATGTTTGTACCTTTAGAGGGTGCTGTGGCGCTGGGACACTTCTCGTTGATTCCATTTTTCACATCCTGGATTCTGAGGAGAGATAATGAAGAAAGGTCGGTCACCAAAACTGGATTGGTTTATCCAGACTTCATCAGATTTAAATCAACTTCATTCTGCTACATTTGGAGACTGAGTTTTCCAACAACAACAAAGGCCACAGAGAAAGTCAGGGTTTCAGCTCACAGACACACAGGAGCTGCTGCTGGTCCCTGGACTGGTCTGTGAGCTGCGGTCACTGGTTTTCTCTGTGAAGTCAGTTTCCAGGTTGGAGTCTAACAGTCGGATAAAGATGAAGAAGTCGTACACGGATTCTTCGTTGTTCACGTTATCGCAGACACCGCGGCTCAGGCTCCACCCACACTGAGGATCTCTGGCCATGATGCACTGACTGCAGGTTCTGTAGATGGAGCAGTGGCTCAGTGGGACAGAGGTGATGCCTTCAGATGTACCGATGAACAGCACACCCTGCAGGAGGGGGAAAAAAAAGCAGTTTAATGGAATTGAATGGAACCACACACACACAGGTCACATGTTTGAATGGTTTTACCTTAGCAGTGGACAACAGGAGGCTGGCCCTCGGCTGAGCTTCTGGAAACACCTGGATCTCCTCGATGATCCAAGGACCCTGATCCAGAAGAACCACTTTGTGCAGGAACCCAGACTCTGAGCAGAGCACGGGAAAAATCAGGATTTGGAGACCGCCCTCATTATCCATATCAAAGTCTGGATCTCATCACTATGGCCTCACCCGTGAGCAGGAACAGGACCTGGTACTGTTTGCCATCGGCTGCCGTGGAACTCATCGCTGCCAACTTACTGTACCGATGCTCCAAGGACACGAGAACTGGAACACCCAAGTCTGGTCTGACGCTGTCGCTGGTCAGGAAGCTTCTCTTCACTTCTTCTAACTCTGTATCTGAGGCTCCGCCCATATCACACTGTCAGAGATGAGAGACCTTGAGAACTTGGAACTCTTCACACAAATGACTTTTACAGTTTATTTTCACATTCCCAGTCCTGAGGTTTTCTTCCTCCTACCTTGCCCAGGTACGGGTGATTTCCCAGCAGTGGGCTCCACTGGCGAGTCTCTGTGTCAAACTTCCTGTAGCTTCTAGTGAAAGTGGACCTCACATCCTGCAGCCTGAAAATGCAAACGGCCGACTCGGGAGTGGAGGACCTGGAGAGAACCAGAGTCAGGGTGGGACCAGTTCACGTTGTGCTGTCGGACCGACTCGTCTCCCGGTTTTCTCACCACTGGGATGTGAAGACGCCGTAATACACGGTGTCGGCGCCTTGTAGAGGCGACAGTGTGAACACGTCCTGGAGGATGCTGTAAGGAAGCTGTTTGGATGAGCCGCAGAGCAGCGTAGCTTTAGCGAAAGACGTCCACTTCCTCTGCAGCGTCCTCTGTCCACCAACATCGTCCTGTATGGATTGAAAACACAGATGTCTTCATTACAAGGCTAACTTCTCTCTGCCTGATCTGTCAACATCGCTCATATTCAGTAATTAGCCCTTTGTGTAGCTAATAGCAATACTAGCAATAGCTGTGTCTGTTTGTGACCTTGCAGACTTGAGCGACTCGTGCAACTCTCAGATCGTTCAGGTA